ATAACTTTTATTACAGTATATTATTAAATTGTTCTATGTTATTATTAGTTATTGTTGTTAATTTCTTACTGAGCCCAATTTATAAATTAAACTTTTTCATAGGTATATATGTATAGGAAAAAACATAGTGTGTATATACACACATATATATACACATATAGAGAGACAGCGTGCGTGTGTATACATATACATATATATATAAAGAGAGAGAGAGTGTGTGTAGATAAATATGTAGACAGATAGATAGATGATAGATAGATAGAGAGAGAGAGAGATAGGGTTTGATACTAGCCACAGTTTCAGGCATCTACTGGAAGCTTGAAACATATCCCCCTCAGATGATGGAGGACTACTTGTAATATCTAACCTCATGGGGAAGGTGTTCATCTCATTTAACAGAAAAAAATCAAGATACAAAACAACCTATGTAATATAATCCCATTAATATACAACTGTAGACATCTATCTATGGATGTGTAGAAAAAGTTCCAGAAAGATTTTACCAAAATGCTAACAGTATTTACCTCTAGATGGTGGGATTGATTACTTTCTTTTTTGTAACAGTACCTACTTCATAATGTTTGGAGAGATTGAGATAAGGTATGTGACAATGTGATGAGTTTATTGCACAATGCTTGGCACATATAAATGGCACATTTTATATTATTTTCATAACTTTCAGGATTTTTTGGGGGGGGTTTTTTTTGGTTTAGAGACAGGACCTCTATCACTGAGACTGGAGGGCAGTGGGGCTGATTTCTGGCATGATCTTATCAGGAAGGAATGTCCTTGATCCCACAGAGAATTTACAAGCCTTTGTGCACTGTTCATAAAAGAGATAGGCCTGAACTACCTGCTAAGGGAAGAAGATTTGAGGGTTGAAGATAGGGGTGCAGCCTCAGTCTGACCCAGGGACAGTGAGGTCACAGAGAACAAAGGTTTGGAAACTATGCCCTTTACCTGTACAGTACTGGGAGGGGTACCCACAAGGGCTGCAGATGGAGTACCCAACCTGGGGATCAACAGGCAAGAAGCTCTTCTGGGGAAGAAGATGACAAGGGATGTTTTTCAGCCAGGCTGCAGCAGTTCAAAGTCAGATTCATCTGATTTTAAAAAGAAAGGTGAGATTTTTTACTCTTTAGTGACATGGAGCAAATTCCTGCTGGCTCCATAGGTGTATGTTGCAAACCCTGGGAATAGATGACATGGTCCAGGGTTAGCATTTACCATTTACCAAGAGAAAAGAAGAGAGTTGGGGACGTCTCCTGGGAACACAATTTCAGAATCTGTGGAAGACTGAGAAAGAGCAGCCAGAGGGCAATAAGGGGACCTGGGAGAGTCCATGTCCCAGAGGTCATGGCAATGTCATAAAGTAGGCGGCACTCGATGGTTAGATGCTGCAAGGGTTCCAGGAAGATGAAGACTAAGAAGTGTCTCCCAGACACTGGTATGATGGGCAGGAGATGGCTGTGGATTGAGGAGTTGTGGGGGCTGAAGATGAATGCCGCTCACAGCCCTGAGTTGCCTGATTCTATTGGCTGAGCAGTCTGAGGCTGCCAGGGTAGGACATTAACATCTCCCAGAGGACAATTCTTCCAGGGTCAGGCAGCTTTCCTGGCCCTGTCAGTGATAAGAGAGAACAGGGTGAGCTCCTCTAAGTCATGGAACACCACAACTTAGAGGGACCACCAGCTGGGAATGTCCACCTGGCCTAGGTGGTAGCGTCACCTCCGTGGAGGATCAGTTCATTGCTAAAAGCCTAGGAACAAAGTTTATGGAGAGACCTCGCAAATTTCCTAGGACTCGAAGATTTATCCAAAATTCTGTCTCCCATGTCATGTGTCTGATGAAGCGCCTGGGGGTGAAGGATCTGACCCTTTCACTGCGAATTCAACATCTGCAGAGAAGTCATGATATGCCAGTCACTTTGTTCTGCATGTTTATATGGATCATCCCATTTAATCTCACAACAAATGTAGGCTGGATACACCCATTTTACATATGAAAAAACAGAGAGGATGGTTTGTCTAAGACCACATAGCTAAGTAAGTAGTAGAGCTGGAATTTGTACCTCCAGGTACTTCGATTCCAACTCTCAGAGCTCTCTTTGCTACAACACAGTGTAATTAGAAGGAATTATTCAAAGCAGATTCCCAGACCCTTCCTTGTATGAAAAGTAAAGAACCTTTTCTGGGACTCAGGGCTTGGACAGAGAAGGCCTCCTGTTATGTCCACCTCCCATGTCCCATTGGCAGGAGTGAGCAGTGGAGGGCCATAGACCAGGCCACGCCCTCACTTTTCTTAGAGGTCTCATCTAACAAGACCTCCTGTCCCGGAAGGTCCAGGGCTGTTTATCTCCTGAGCACAGTCCTCCCTGTTCTCTGGGAGGACCCACTGTAAGATCGGTACGGCGCGCTTACTTCCTGGACTGGGTGGCAGCCTTCCTAGGGACAGGAAGCCTGGGCCAGTGCGCAGAAGATGGAGAATGAATGGTATGTTCCTTTCAGAGTCATCCACCTACATCAAGGAGACTTGGAGGTGTCCTGGGTGACAGCTTGTTGTGACTTGACAGAGCCTCCTAGAAACTATCCACTTGGGACCGGGGTGGAGAATGGCTTCCTCCCACTCATGATGCACTTGTCCAAGTTTCCAGAAACCGCATGGTTTAAGCCTCTGCTCATGCCACACTCTGATGGGTGCGCCCAGCCTTCTCTGGGGAGTTGTCTCACCTGCCACTCCTGGAAAAATACGCAGAGCCAGACAGCGGAGCCTATAAGGTCCCAGTTGGGAGGATTCCACCTGACTCTGGTGCAGAGTATAAAAGAGCAGCTGAATGTCAGAGCCTGAATTCAAATCCACCTCTGCCATGCAGCAGTCGTGCAGTTTGGGAGGCTTATTTCACTTCTCTTGGCCTTTGTGTCCTCATCTGTAAATTAGGAATGATGACAAGGCCCACTTCATGGGATTCTTGTGCTGGCAGGAGATAATATACATCAGGTGTCCAGCACAGCATGTGGCACATAGCAAACGTTTAGCAAACGCTGGCTATTACTATCATTGTCCTCATCATGGCGTTCACGGGGACTCCATATGCGTGTCCCCATGTCCACCCAATTGCATCAGGACCACAGCTAAGCGATTATGGGGAAGAATGGTCCCTGGGAATCTAACCAAAGCCCAGAGGCGGCTGGGACACCTGCTAGGCTGTAAGTGGCTCCTTCTGCAAAGAGCCATCATCTCTTCCCACAACAGCCTCCTCCTCCTCCTGCCCAGCACACTCACTTGGCACTCCTTTCCCAGGGAAATTATGTGGAAATGCAGCAGTCAATAGAGTCGACAAAGCCAGAAGACTTGGCTGGTACTTGGAGGTGCCTAGGCTCCAGGGACACAGGACAATGTCACTGCAACTCCCTCCCTGCCCAAAACACACACACAATTCCCTGGAGATTCTGGGCCAGTTTAGAATGCCCCATCTCCCCCCTCCATCTATATATTTTGTAGCCTCTATAGATATCCTGGGCCAAAGGAATGTATTTTTCTTTTTCCATCCAGATCCTGCTTTTTCTCTACCTCATTTCCCCGTCCCGTTCCCATACCCTTACACCCCTGCCAATCAATTTATGTCCTAGGAATCCCCTGAAAGAGAAGGGAAAGTGTCTGCTTTCTAAGGGGAAAGAAACAGAAATGGCCTAAGCCCTAAGTCTCTGCCCAGGCCGGGCTTCTGAGGATGCAGCCACCTTCCTCTGGTGAGTGGACATGGCTGGTTGTCTTCTGAAATGAGTGCTGTCTCCTGCAGGGGAATCTGCCAAGGACTGCCCTTCCCAGCCCAACTTTGTCTAGATGGTGCCACATGACACATATGACATGTCTGCACCCATAAAATGTCAGTGGAAATGACTTCTGGGCTAGAGCACTTAAGGACTGAATGAATCTTTTTTTATATTTTCTTTCTGGCTAGAAGTAGACAACAATGTGGATGACAAACTCCCAAGACGGAAAAAGCTTGTGGAAGAAAGTCTCCCTCTGATCAGAACACCCTAACTGCACTGTTACATGGATGCAAAACAAACTTCAATTAGGTTAAACCATTGAAATGGTGAGCAACTGTGGGATCTATTACAGTCAGTGTCACCCCTCCTAGGAATATAGTAAGCGTGGCACCTGCCTCCTCCCCCATACCTTCTTGTGCACATGGAGCAAGAAAGGAATCAAAAGAAGGACTTTCCCTGGCATTGATATGAAAGACTAAAGCAATCAAGTTCAGGGTGTCCAGAGGCTGGATGCGTTTGGGGAAACCTGGAGAATTCTGTGCTTGTGGCTGGTGTGCTGGGGACTATGAGCCCGCTGGTGAATGGGGGTATGGAGGTGGAGCTGGGGATTCACCAGTGGGCTCATAATGGTTGAGGTCAATATGGTAAACACAGGAAAAGTGCAAAGCAAGAAGGGGTAGATTGTTCAGAAGAGGCCAGTGGGACCACCCATCTGATTCTCTTGGAAATAGCTGAGTAAGCTTTGGGGCTTCCTTGTCAACACACCTGTTGTTGAGCCAGGAAAGGCAGAAGTGGAGGAAGAGGAAGAGGGTAAGAACATGCCCTGGAGTGCCCTTCCCCTGCCCCCACCTGCTGTGTGAAGGTTTATTCCAAACCTGACCTCTTCTGAGAAGCTTCCTTGACATCTCTAGGTGTGGCTGGTGGTTGTTCTGAGCATGTTCCAAGCATGGTGTCCACACTCAATCACAGCTTCCATCACATTGGGTCATGACCCAGTTCCTTGAGGATCTGTCATGCCCTTTGTATCTTCTGGGCCTAGTATGAGTCCCCGGCACAGAGTAGGTACGGATGTTGTTGGTGAATGGATGAATACATGAATGTATGGCTAAATGAGCAGAACCCAGAGACGAGGAACCAAAACCAAGAACCAAAACCAAGAGTGTCTGGGCACTAGGGTGGGCAACCTCAATTTGTTACCTAGGATACCAGTAAAACATCCAAAGACAGATATCTCAGGTCACACAACTTTTATTGCTGAAGACCATCACTGGGGGCTGCTGCAGACAGGAATGTGGCCACCTTGCCAGTCTTGCTAACATTCCCCAGTGTACCTAGCCCCATGAGCCCCTGCCCAGCCTCTCCAGCCTGCTCTTCTGGGGCAGTCTTTCCCTTGAGCGGCCACGGCCTGCCTGAGCTGGGCTAGGCTGGGTTGATCTGCTTGGATCCTGCCTCTGAGAAACATAGCACCACAAAAGACCCTGACGGGCCCAAGGAAGGTGAGGGGAGCACGGCTGGCAGAGGAATAGCTGCCCCAGAGAAAAGGCTGCGGAAGGCCCAGGCTTTTACTGGTGAGTCCAGGCACACTGATGATTTGCAGGAACATGGTCAACTTGGATCCTTCAGAAGGGCTGCCTGGAGGGCCTGGGACCACGTTAGGTTTCTCTCCATGGCAGTTTTTATGTCAGTATTATGTTTCCAGAACAACTGAGAAATTGAAAGGTAGAGAAAGCTGAGAAGAAATTCCAAAGTCCCAGGACAGTCCCTGGGAATGAGAGATGCTCTCCACCTGGACCTCCCTGGGGCCCTTGGGAGCCTATGCAGGAACAGCTTCCATTTCTTCATGCCTTTGTCAGGGCCCTTGGATGCAGAAACAGTTTGTGGACCTCGTCATGTCAGATTTGCTTGCCAGTCCAAAAGAGTATTTGCTTCCCTGAGTATCTCCTAGGGGCTCCAGATGCTGTAGTGACTTGGGAGATGTCCATCCTGGGGACTCAGTCCAGTCTCTTCATCCAGTCCCTTGAGGCCAGAAATATTCTGTAGGACTCTTAAAATATGACACTTCCCAGGAGTCCCCTGGGGGTCTTGGGCTGATTGATGCTAGCTGTCAAGGCTCCTGGAGTTTTTGGAGAATCTTTAAAAATACCCGTATTTTCATTTCTTAAATATAAAAATAAAATAAAATAAAATAAAACCCGCCCCAGCAGCTTGTGACCAAATGAGTAGAGTGAATCCTCATCTCCGTTGTCAGCCTGGTTAGCCACAGCACAGCTCAGCTGCGGACATCTACGGCTCCAGCAGGAGGTCTGAGTGAGGGCTCGATGCTCATAACGACAACGGGAGCAGCTTTCCACAGAAGACAGTCCAGGCACGGGGAAGCTGCACCCACCAAAACCCGCGATCCATCCCGGGACAGCAATGGCGTCACCTGGGTTGCTGGCATCTGTCCACACTGGGCTAGTCTGTAAGTGAGGGTCAGAGAAGCAAGAATTCCAGGCCCTTCCTTGGGCTCTGGGCTCCACCTCCTCCATCCATCTATGGACACCCCTGTAGGAACATCCACAGTACTCAGGCTCTTGTCTCCAGGTAATTTCCAGCCTGGGATTTTGAGAAGAGTTGACAGCTCTGCTGGTTTCTGAAAAACTCGAGAGTGGCAATGCACACTATGTACACACACACACACACACACACACACACACAGAGCAGACAGTGGAGGTGAGAGTCCGATGGTGCCTGGTGGCCATTAGCCCAGATGATGCCACACATGGCCAGTCACTGTAGCCAGAGTCTTCACAGCAGCCGGTGCTGTGCAGAGCAGCAGGCCAGCTGGTTAGGATTTTCCAAATCGCACCTCGCTCTGAGGAAGAGAACGGGAGAAGAAGGTGATGGTGGGCTGGGTGGGTGGGGAGCGCAGAAGCCCAAGGTTGGGGTTCAGAACCTATAATTTAGCCCAGCTGTCACCTGGCACTGCCTCTCCAAGGAGGGACAGTAAAAGGAAAGGATGGATGCAGGCTTGGAGGGCCTCTCTGCACTAGATTTCTGGAGCCTTCCCTGCTCCCCTTGTGTGAGCCCTCCCCTGTTCCCCAGGCAGAGAAGGGGAGGGCTGGCAGAGCAACCCCTGCTTTACAGCTAAAGGCTGAAGGCCCAGAGAAGGCAGGGTCTCAACTGGGTCAGCAGAGTTGCAGGCAGATCCCTGGTTCCTGATGCCCAAATTCCTGCCGTGGAGGGAGGCCTCCCATCACTCCACCGCCAGTGGCCTGTGTGAACTCACACCTCGGTCATCCCTGGGAGAGGAGAGTGGCACTGGGGCTGGCACTGAGGTTAGGCCCACCTTTTATTCTTTACATTTATTTGTTTATTCATTCATCCTTCATTTATAACAATACATAGTAAATATACTGAGGATATTCCAGGGGTTGTAAATGGCTGATTTTGATAGATCAGTCAGAGTTCTTCAGTAAGAAAAATGGAAGATGAGAGGGTGGAAGTGGGAGAGGGGACTCTCTAGGGTGGATCAAGTATTCCAAAGGCCAAGGGCAAGGTCAGGCACACACCGAAGAGTTTGTGGTTCAGTTTGACCTGAACAATGACTTCTGAGGCTGGACATAGGTTAAAGCAAGTCAAAAAACATAAAAGAAGTTTTTATTTTATTACTTTATACTCTTTTACGATAGTAGTGAGGTGCTGTTGAAATATTTTAAGTGGGAAAGGGAAAGAATTGTAGTTCTCAGGGAGCATTCTGGTGACAGCTGTGAAAGTTGTCAGAGTCAAAATGAAGTCCCTTGTGTTTTTTAAAAAAGACGACGACGACAACAAAAAGAAAATAAAAAAGACTCCAACAAACAGAGCTGGGAAAGGCCATGAAGAGCGGGTTCCCATGCATAAATGCTTGATAACAAAAACTATCACAAAATCCTCTGCAGAAACTGAAACGTTTTCAAAGTCCATTGCAACCTTACACAAAAAATCACTTCTGGGGGAATATCTGCCTAGCAACTGCCTGCCCAGCCTCTAGGCCCACCCTTTTGCAACCCTCTGAGCTCTGTTCTGAGGGAAGAAAAGCAGGGAAAGAAACACAGGCAGCTGGGATTGACCCCAGGCATCACGTTTGACCCTGTCCAGAATACCCCCGAATACGAGACTGCTGAGGGGATCTCTGCCTACACCCTGGGTGCTCCTCCAGGGTCCCCACCTTAGGAAGTTCCCAGTCTGCTGGGTGCAGTGTCCTGGTGCAGGGATCTTACCTCCATCTTGCTGTAAATCCAGGGAAGAACTTCTGTCACTTTGGTGTACACACCGGGTTTGTTTCTCTGGCCACAGCCTGTACCCCAGCTGGTGACACCTGCCAGGTACCAGCGGTTGTTCTGCTCGCAGACAAGAGGCCCCCCACTGTCTCCCTACAGGGGAGAGGGGGCACATGTGCAGGATGGGACAGGTAGTCCATGAGCAGAAAAGGGTGGGGTCCCAATTCCCACATCAGCCCCAACACCCCAGCCTCCCCCATCCCCAGGGTGCTGGGACCTGAGCCCCACCCACAGGTACCCTCACCTGGCAGGAGTCTCTGCCCCCACGAAGGTCCCCAGCACACATCATCCTCGGAGTAAGGTAGCTATCATAGACCAAGTAGTCATTGCATTTCTTGAAGTCGATGAGATTGACCTGCACCTCCCGGAGGAAGGGGGATGTCTTGTCTTCAGTGAAGTGGGGTGGAGGAGACAGAGGATGGAAAGCCAGTGAGATTCTGGATAGCTTCCTGGTGGTCCAGCTGCCACCCCAAGACCTAGAATCACAGCTTCCTGGGAATGGAGGGTGCCATGCCTGTGCCCGGCTCCGACCCAAGGGAGGCCCTCTGTGGTTGGACACCCAGGGCATATTGGCACACATGCCCTCACACAAGACACAGCTCGCTGCACGTGAGACAGAGACATCCATGTACACAGACACACTCACAAGCCTATCAGGCTACGCGACATGTTGCACGGCACTTGCCTACGTTTAAAGCACCCTCAGATACATGGCTTTGTTTGTTTTTGGAAGCTATGTGCCCTAAAGAGAGCAGGTGGCATTAATCCATTTACAGGTGGGGAAGCCTGGGGCTGGAGAAGTGACCTGCCCACAGTCACACAGCTAGTAGAGTATGGAGACAAGACGAGAAGGCTGTGCCCAGATCAGTCATTGCTTTGCCTCACAGAGGGAGGGAAAAGCAGTCCCAACGCATGGCAGTGCCTTGAGTCTAACTGCAGGGTCATCCTGCTCAAAGTAAGCCATCTCACAGGACAAGGCACTCTGTGACTGGGATGACGTGAAAACAAGACCACTTCATCATCTTGTTTAAGGCCAAAGACAAGGGCATCTGCAAATCACAACAGTACCAAACATCCCCCTCTCCTGGTCAATATGAGTGACTGCTGCTTCCTTACCGCTTAGAGCTCCTAGATAATTTTTTTTTTTTTTAATTGAGACGGGTTTCACTGTCGCCCAGGCTAGAGTGCAGTGGCATGATCATGGCTCACTGCAGCCTCAACCTCCCTGGGATCAGGTGATCCTCTTGCCTCAGCCCCTCTCGTAGCTGGGACTACAGGCACACACCACCATGTTCAGCTAATTTTTCTATTTTTTGTAGAGATGGGGTTTTGCCGTGATGCCCAGGCTGGTCTTGAACTCCTGGGCTCAAGTGATTCTCCCACCTTGGCTTCCCAAAGTGCTGGGACTACAGGTGCAAGCTACCGTGCCCGGCCTCTAGATAAGGTTATTAAGCTTCCCAGTCACAGAGTAACCCCTGCTTCCTGACACCATCCAATTTAGAGAAAAGTCCTACGTCTTTGAACCCTCCTCAAGCCACCTAAATCCTATGAGCAGTCCTCTCTGACACGCTGTTGCTGAGATGCTCTATGGTTCTTCATGGTGTGCTCTCTCTCACTGCAATGAGCAATGAACTCAACTAGTTCAACCACAGCAGTTTTCTAGGTGGTCTTGACCGGAAGGCATTGTCACAGCGACCCCACTGGCATATACTCAGGTGTCTATACACACATATTCACACCCAGGCCCATGAATCTGTATACCCAAACTCTCACCGACATAGCCCCTCATCTGTATACCCAGACACATTGCTTACACGCACTCATGTATACACACACATGCACATGAATACACACACACAACCAAGCATCTTTGCCGCTTACCATCTGTCTCCCTGGTCTTGCCAAAGCCTGTGATCCAGCAGGTCTCATTGAGGCTAAAGGTCTGTCCATGCATGGGGAGGCAAGCAGGGTGGATGTGAGCTGCAACAAGACCCCCAGATGTCAGTGAAGGAACAAGGCTGAGACTTTCAATAGGGAGAGGAAGAAGGAGCAGAGCCACTCTGGGGGCAAGGAGGAGGCTCCTAGAACATTCATCCTTGACTCTAGAGTGCTTCTGAATCCTCCAGAACCTTGGACTGACCAGACACAAAACTCGATCACTTTATCAAAACCCACCAGCCTTTGGGGGCTACCAGAGGCTGAAAGCCATTCTGATTTCAGTGGTTGCCCTGTGGTCAGATGCATACGCCTTGGAAGCTCCCTTGTACAAGCTGATACTGGGCAGCTGAGGGTCTCTCCCCACAAAGAGGGTCTCTCCTGGCAGAGCCTCTTCCATGTCTTTCCATTAGAACAAGGAACAGCAGCAGGCTAAGACCCAGATATTATGACCATTGCATCTCAGCAGTATGTCCAGCCTGGTCTGGCGAGGGTACCCACTGGTTGTCCAGGGCCTGTGGCTCTCCCTCCAAATGTTTGCCCAGCACAAGGTAAGAAATCTCTCCAAACAGGAAACGCATTCCTAGAGACACAGACCACAGAATTCCTGCTAACTTGATCCCACACTCAGAAATATTATATTTAGAAGTCACTGTTATGTATCACTTCATAAGCTCTGAGGACTGGTGTCCCTAGGGCGACCAGGGCATTGACCACCACACCTGAGTTTGCAGGAGGAAAATATTAGTTGATAGAATGTTTGCAGTATTCTCAACCATTTGTTATATTCACTGCAGTATTCTGCACCTAAGATAATGCCTGTCACATATTCACTAAATGTTTAAAAAGAGAGAGAGAGAGAGAGAGAGAAGGCAGGAAGGGTAGATGGGAAGGATGATTTTAAATTTTTCTCCCATAAATTGGATTAGGCTTTAAACATTGGTGTCTACCCTAGTTTTGTCTGCTAGAGAGTAAACAAAAAATAGATGAAGGAATAGCATGCATTATTAACAAAAATGCAAAATAGGATTTCTTTTCTCTGCCCCTTTTTGAGATGTAAAGTTTTAAAAACATGTAACACTGATATATGATCCATTGTTATATATTTCACTGTTTTTTATGGGGAAATTAAATTTACCAGTGAACTTTCACAAACGAAAGTACTGTGACTTCTAGTGCTCTACCTGCCAAATGAGTTTAAGAAAATCTGCACTGATTTCTAAACCAAACATCAGGGCATATGTTCTGGCCACAGGACTACATACATCTGAGCTGTGATTCTCAGACTAAGGGTCTGCTTCCTGCCCAAAAGCCTATCAGAGTCTATTTGAAAAGCATACGCAATGTGAGAATAGCCTTCATTCGGTTTTAGAAATTATTTAGTTTTGGAATTCCAAATAATATTAAGGAGTGGAGGGTGGGTGAGAGGTAAGATTTGGATGTTTAGCCAAATACAGCCCCGGTTTGACAAGGTGAGAAGGCCTGCTCTGGTCCTGCAGACTGTGCTCTTCCTGTGTGCTGAGCGGCAGGGCAGGGGGCAGCGGGCATCCCTCACCTCAGCCCAGGGCTCCACAGACAGGGCTGGAGTTGCAGAAGGGCTAGTGGGCGTGTCGTGTCAGGGCGTGGCTACGAGTGGGAGTGACGCTGCGTGGGCGTGGTTCTGGGCTAGCGCTGCCCAACCCAGCTCTTCCCAGGGATCCTCCTCCTCACCCCACTCTGATGATCTAACTGCTCTGACTCGTGATAGACACCGCCTCCACAATTAATGTGCGAGGAAACACCAGCTCCCAAGCTCAGAGCACGAGAATGGCTAGACTAACCGGAGAGTCCTCCAAGGCTTCCAGAAGTCCCGGTACTCCTCCTCCCTTTCCCACCTGTAAAACTGCTTATGCCAGGGGGCTCTGGCTCCATTCTTCAGCGTCCTCCCTGAGCCTCCATTACCTGTCTTCTCCAATCTTTTCAGGACCCACCTTGACTATCCTTCCTCTGCTGAGCTTCCCCAGGATGATTAGTTGCTCCCGCCTGTGCCACCATAGCTCCCCGCTCACCCAAAACATCGCATAATTGACCTCTACTGGTCGTCTTGGTGTATGTCACCCATTTTATTTCTATTTGCAACTGTACTATAGGACTGACAATATAGTAGACGCATAGTATTTGATAAGTGAACAGATGAGTGAATGGATGAATGAATGAATGAAGTCTTCTTTGAGGTCCCCTGTCCACAGTGATCATCTGAGAACCTCTGCATTTCCTTTGTGTAGCCTCATTTGGTCCGTAGCAACAACGTTGTAGCAATTAACTGTTTGAGTGTGTACTCAGCTTATGTTCTCGACTGCAGGGTAAGCAATTTGCCAGTCTAGAGCCAGGTGGGGAGAGCATTGCTTGGGAATCAGATCGACCTAGTTCCAGTCCCAGAGCTACCACCTATTACTTGTGGCCTCGGGTAATTATCTCTCTGTAAAGTTCCATTTCCTCATATGTCAAATGAAGTTAATAATAGTACCTGCTCCATAGGGTTGGTTGTGAAGAGTAAATGAAATCCTATGTGTAAAATGCCTACCATAGTGTTCGGCCTCTAGGTGCTCAGTTAATACCAGTGAAAGAATTCAATCTATTGATTAAGATCAGTACCCAAGCCCTGACTCTGTCATCAATTTGTAATGTGAGATGTTTCATTTGGAGCAAAGTTATTTATAGCCCTTGGGCTTCAGTTTCCCTAATTATACAACAGAAGTGTTCCATGTAAGGATCTTTAAGAGTCTTGACTTCTGCCATGCAGAAGCTTTGGGGCCCAGATATGAGTTGACAGATGCTGGCAAGCGCGAGGGCTGCAGAGGGTGCTGGGGCTGGGGGACAGGAGAGCGGGGAGCGCAGATTCACTCACCGGACAGGGTCAGGGGCTTGGACAGCCGCATGAGGGCGATGTCATAGTCGTCCTCCTCGTCGGTGTAGTTGCTATTGATGATGATCTCGGCGATGGAGACTGCCTCAGGCAACTGGTGCAGGTTGCTGGTGCCTGCATACACCTTCCAGCCCTCCAAGACCTTCTCCCGGGTCCTGCAAGAGCCACAAAGGAGCATGGTCCAGTACCTGCCTGGCAGCGTTCACTGGCAGCATCTGCTACCTACAGGAGCCACAGTCAGAGCACCAGCTTGGAGGCAGGAGGATGGATAAAATGACCTCTGGAGGGAACCCTCTATCTTATCCCTGGAGCCAAAGCAATCCCCCACAGCCCCTCAAAAATTATGAGCTTGCAGCTCTGCACCTTACAGTAATAAAGAGGGAATGATGAGTAAGACCTCTGTGTGGCACTCACCCCCCACTATCTCCTCTGCAAGTCACCAAGGATCAAATAAGTGTCTTTGACTTTTGCCATGCTGAAGCTCTGGGGCCTCGATGTGAACTGACAGATGCTGGCAAGTCACAGGGCTGCAGAAGGTGCTGGGACTAGGGATAGGGGGCACAGATTCACTCACCGGGCAGGGTCAAGGGCTTGTACTGATAAGATCTCAGTATTATTACCCTCAGCAAATTCAGACAGGACAAAGTAACATGCTGAACTCATTATTAGAGAGGCCAGTGCCCCTGAGGCCTGGTCTCAGAGATCTCTCCTGCCCACCAGCCTGGGCTGTGGGCCCCCAGACACTAGGTCAGCTGGTGACTGTTAGAAGCTGATACAGTGCTCTCTCTGCAATCCCTAGCCCTCAATTTCTGGGATAACTAGGGGCTCCTCTGCTATGAGTTCCAGTTGCAGGAAGCAGCAACAAACCCAAAGCCTTTTGCATTTCACCCTGTTCTGCAGGGGTCGGCTCCTAGTCCCTCTTCCTGCCTGCCTCTCTCCCTTGGGGCCATCAATGGGACTTTCTCATCCTTGGGCCTAGCTCAGAACAAACACCCCCGATCCATACTCTCAGGACCAAGTGAACACCCAAGCTACACCAGTGCCAACTGGCCCATGGGGGCTGGACTCACACCCAGAGTCCTCCTCCACGAAGAAGTCAGTCTGCAGCCAGTCCTTCCTGGCGGTCCCTGACCCTGGGCAGTGTCAAATCACCTGCCTCTCAGGCACTTACACGAAGAAGCAGTGGGCGGCAGTGAGCACCCACTGGGCGTCAATGAGCGTGCCTCCACAGATGTGGGTGGTGCCGAAGTGCAGACTCACTTGCCAAGGCCACTTGCTCTCCGAGGCCAGCGCCCCTCCCACGATCCGCCCGGTCATGGCCCTCAGTCCGCAGTCTGGGGAGAAGGAGTAGACGTACTGTGAACCCTGCTTTTCCCAGGGTTCTTTCCGAGCTCCTGATCAGAATGCCTCTGCCGTGCTCCCAGGGCCAGGACAGGCTCAGGCAGCCCCGTCCTGAAGGGCACCCACCCTCCCACGGATGAGCTTTGCTCCCTTATCTGCTACACACAGCAGTTCCCATGAGACCATTGCCACCACATGGTGGGGTGGCTTTCTGGGATCATTCAGTGGGAAGTTTGACCCCAGGCAGGTTCTTCTTTCTTCTCCTTCACTCATTCTTTCATTGATTTGACAAATGCTTTCTAAGTGTCCCAAGCTTTGGGCATTGTGCCAGGCATTGGGGTCATGATGGTAAGTCCCAGGACTGCCATTAGGAGCACAGGAACGCAGACCAGTTCTAACGTCACCCTGAACTGACAAGCATTATAATGAGGGTCTCTATTGTTTCTAAACATAGGAAGAATACACTTCCCCTGATGCACGGGAGACTCAGACCGCTTCCTTGGAATAAGAGGTTGCTGGGCTGAGCCTCTGCCAGAGTCAGGAGAAGGGGAAATGTTATCCTGGGTGTACCGGTGCCTTACAGGGACTCCAGCCCTGAAGCAGGCCTGCTGACACTGTTCCTGACTTGAACCCCAGTGCCAAACACCTCCCTTGGAGGAGTTCTGCCCCTCTGCCCTTTACTCCCACACGACATTGGCCACAATCCAAGAAGAAGAATATCTTACGGGAACACTGGAGAGAGATATACCGCTGGGAAGGGCATTCAGACCTGCAGGAGGAGACACAGAAAGTGGGAGGGTATATTAGCTACCTCCTCCAGGAAGCCTTCCTGATTGATTCCTGCTCAGTTCCTATCCTGTTTCCAAGGAAGCTACTCTTTGCACAGGAAACAGGAGATTCTGAGCTTCTCCTTCACGTGTGACACTCTCCCTTCCAGTGCTTTGTCCAGAATGGCAGTGGTTCAGTGCAAATCAACACTCTCATCCCCTCAACTAGTTTTCTTGTGGCAGATTGCAGACATTGGCCCAGATCCATGTTCTTTGAACTTCGGACTTCATTGTCCCAGCATCTTTTCACGGCTAAACAGATGGCCTGGTGCTCCTCTGACACAGTTCCTCAACGCAGATGCAGAAACCACGCAGCACAGAGCAGGCATCCAGATGCAGCAAATTCACGTCCCTTCCCTTATCATTACTTCTCTTGGAGCCTGGCTTCTTCTCTGCCCTCTGCAGGGCAAACAATGCCAGCTGGCAGAGCCCCCAAACCTCCGATGCTTCCCACATGGCCCTCCCTGTCCCTGACGCCTGCACCTGGCAGTCCCCTACTGCTGCTTCTCTACCCTGTCCCTAACCCCAGTGATGCTTCTCCCGCCCCAGTCCAGGTCCACTCCCTGCAGCAGCTCTCAGTCCAAACACCTGGTTGACTGGAGGTCCCAAGGTTCGTGAATTGCCGCTGACGACCAGGTAAACTCTCAGGGGCACCCCTGGTCTCCAGTTGCTCTCAGCACTGAGCCTCAAACAGTAATTTTTAAGTCAGGAGGCAGTTTGGTGAATAAGGACTGTTTCCGAGATGCCCCTGAACACTCATGGTGGACTCCTGGAGGCTGGATCCCAGAAAAGCCAGGGAAGGGGGCTCCCTGACTCAAAGACCCCCTCCCACACACTCCTTCCCCTGCTCACAAACAGGCAGCCTGCCTGCCCCACCATACCTGTGGAGGCTTTCCTGGATGGTGGAGTTGTATCTTGAGATTGAGAAGCTGTTGGCAAAATCCCTGTGGGCAACCTCGGTTGTCCGGTAAGCACTACAAGGGAGGAGAGGGGAGAAGAATGAGTCCCCTGGAGACAGGGTCATCCCAAGTCCTCCAGTAGGCTTAGAGCCCCACCAGCCCTGCTGACAGAGGCCAGACTGTGATGGTCTGAATGGTGGCCAACTCCTCCAAGCAGCTGTCAAGGCCCGATAAAGTGCAGCCCCACCCACATATTCCACCACTGCCCCCATCTCCCCCAACTCCCCTCCAAGACCCCCAGCCCTATGCACTACCCAGCGTTTCTCAGAGTGTAGACTGGTAGCGTTACCATTGCCTGGGAAGTTATTAATATTAGCAATGCTTCTGAATCAGAAACTGGGTGTGGGCCCAGCGATCATCGTTCTAACAGGTTCTCTAGTGATGCTGATACACACTCAAGTTTGACAAACACCAATCTAGCCCTTTTCTATCCAAACTGCGATCTATGAATAAGCAGCAGCAGCACCCTCCAGACCTATTGAATCAGAGTCTGCATTTTAAAGAATCCCAGGTTACTGAGCTGTACATTAAAGCGTGACAACCTCGGGGCAAGCCTCGTGGATCTCAGAACACAGTGTGCCTAAGAATCACCTTGGGATGTTTGCTGAGCAGGTTTTAAGTCCTCATCCCAGAGATTCTGATTCCAAGATGCATTTTCACAAGCATGGCAGGTGATTCTAATGCGTTCTACTCTCTACATGGAATTTATGTATATTTCTAGAACATGGTACACCCCTGCGTGACACCCTGGCATGACACTTTGCATATGCGGCTCCTCTACCCAGAGGGCCCGTTCCTCCCTTCTCTGCTCTCTCCACCAGTGCAGTTAGGCACCCTCTCCATTGTGTGCCCTTGGTGCTTCACACACATCCTTATCATTACACATCACATCATACTGTGGTTATTGGTTTAAGCCTGTCTCACTGAGCCACACTAGAGGTCCTTCAAGCCTGGGCTCCTGTCTTAATCCTTTGTGTCCAGGTACTACACAGTATGTAACACATAATAAAAGCTCAATGAATATTCTTTGAATAAGTGGCGTTCAAAGACCTGAATGCCCAAGGGAGGTTCAGGCTTGCATAAGGCCACACACACAACTTGTGGATAAAAGATGCCCATGGTCTTCCATCTGGATTACTCTGATCCCGCTTTTGTGGATCTGGACAGGCTGGGGTGGGGTAGAGAACTAGTTCTAAATCCTAACCCCACACCCCAGGTGTTTTTGGTGCTTCTTCTGTAGAGAACCCACAGTGAGATCTTAAACTCTTCTCCCCACGACCTCACACACACTGACAAACCCCAAACTACCCATCTTGAAAACTCAGTCCAAGAGGGAGGATGGAGATGTGTGTCTGGGCTGAAAATCAGGCACTTCTTCAAAGTGGAAAGTCATTGCTCACCTACTCCTTCCTCTACCTGTCAGCACTGCCTGATTTGTTTAAAATCTTTAGAGCCAAAGATCCTTATGATTCTGCCTGGCCTCACCTGGCCCATTTCATTCTCCGTTTGATGAGGTCTGGCTCAAGCCACGGTAGCTATAGCTCGAGGTCCACTGAAGGGCTTTGCACAACCCGAGCTTCTAGTTCCCTAATATAAGAAGAAAAGATCTGCCCAAATGCCTACCCAAGGCGTAGGGCCACCACCGCGATGGTGAATGTGATAATGGATGTCAGGGTGCTTTGAGGCAAAGAACCATCTAGGAGTCCGATACTATTGCAGATCTATACATCACTATGTTGGCCTCATGAAAACAATTTGCTCCAGACTCAGAGGATCTCAGGGCTTCTGACTCTGAATACCTTGAGGGTGTCCAGAACCAGTGAGATCAGCCCTGGTCCCCAAGGGTCTTTTTAATACAACGTTTCTGCAACATGCTTGAGAGGCCCTATGAAGAGCCTGAGGCATCCCTGAAGCCTGGACTCTGGGGCCGGGTTGGGGGTTACCTCTCGAAGCCCAGCTGCTGGCAGGTCTTCTCTGAGTAGGAGTCATTCCAGTTGCTGCTACAGATGGGAAGCCACTGATGGGAGGACCCAGAGTAGATTTTAAGCAGAGACTTGTCCCAGTCAAACCTCACTGCAGGGCAAGAAAAAGGCAGAGCAGGTCCTCAGCACCTAGGAAGCATCAAGCTCTTAGATGGGCTGAGTGAGGCTCTGAGAAGCGCCTGTCCTGACGGCACTCCTTGCTGAGGCCTGGGAAAAGTCCAGGAACGTGGCCTGGGTCATGGGGGGTCAACCAGTACTCAGAAGCCCAAGATGCCTAGCATGGACAGAGCCAAGGCAAAGACACCAGAGTGCTGCAGACTGGTGCAAACTGTGTATCAGCTCAAATGGGAGGCAATGGACAGGGAATCGTTGGGTCTGGATTACATACATGCACACATGCACACATACATACATGCACACACACAAACACGCACATACACACATACACACACATGCACGCACACACACACACATATACACACACAGGCATGCCTACACACACATATATACAAACAGGCACACAAACACATGCACATGTACACACACACACGCACAGGCATACGCTCGCCCGCACCCAGCCCCCTTACCGCAGCCCAGCTCATCACTCTTCAGCTTGCAGTCCACCACCCCGTCACAGCGAACAGCATGCTTGGGACAGCTCTCCCTTTGCTCCTTGTACCTGATCCCTGTGTGGCCCCGCCAGAACTGGACTAGAGAAAAAGAAGCAGACAGCTGGGTCACGACCAGCTCCACAGAGATGAGATACTGAGCAGCCCAAGGCCCTGGGGGTTCTGAGACACCGACCTGCAATCCCTCTTGAACTCTGGGGCTCTCGTCCCCCATCTGTATGGAGAGAAAGGCTGCTCAGGAATGCTCCGGAATGCTCCAGAAAGCTCCTGCAAGCATGGCAGCACCAGGCAGATTCGAGCAGCCAGCCACCCAGAGAGAGAGAGAAAGAGAGAGAGAGAGTGCTGTGGAGATGGGGACCACCTTGGGAACTCCCCTCCCTACATGCTGGCAAACACAGTGGCCAGAGAAACCACCTCCTCCAGTGTCCCAGAGCTTCCCTCTCAGAACCCCTCTGCCGTCCCATCTTCTCTGTGCTCCACAGAGTCACAGCAGATAAATTTCTGTCCTCACAGTCACACATGCAACTACTGTCTGTCTGTTCTCAAAGGCGACCATTCTTCCAGTCTCAGAAGCTCCTGGGTTTTTCCTTCTCCCTCTCCCCTGCACAAGGGACACCCCTATGCTCAGTTCTTTCCCCATGACTTGTCTTTATGCCTTTAAATGTCTTTTCATTCAATCAGCAATTCTAGGTGGCTGATTCCCACATATACAAGTTGGAGCTAAAAGAAAACAGTTTTACAAGCCATATGTGCAAATCTGCTTCACGACTTCCTCCCTCTCTAACGGCAATCTCTTTCCAAACCAGGGGCGGTGGGCCCTCCTGCCCGGAGGCACCTCCCGTTGGCTGCCTCACAGATCCAGGTTCTAATTTCTCACCCCGCCTCTCCTCCTCCACCAGCTCCTCAGCGCCACCCCTTGCTTCTCTTCCAGGGCCCACTGTGCTCTCCGTCACCCAGGGTAAAGTCCACCCGTGTGTGACTGCTCCGTCCAGGTCCTGACACAAATCCCTCCTAATCTCTTGGGTTGGCCCCTCCTCTCTGTGCCCTGGTCTTCCTCCCACATCCTGGGCACTCAACCCCCAGAGAAGCCTGGGCAGTCTCCCTTGGAGTGCTTATGGAGCCCCACATGGATGTGTAGTGGAGAGGGTGCTGGGCTGGGTGGGGAGTCAGGAGGCCTGGGCTCTAGTCCTGACCCCACCAGGTAGCTGCTCGGTGACCTGCAGAAGTCAAGCCACTTCCCTAGCGCTGGAGGTTAGAGGCCTCCCTGGCAGAGCTTATGGGGACTTCAGGAAATGCTGTGAAACCACGCTGAGAGCTTTAGTTCTATTCTGTGAGCCCACCCATGGGTGCCATCTCGCCCCTCCACGGGTCATTCCCATGGCTTTCATGGAGCGAGGTGCTCTGTGGTGGGAAAGGGAGGGAGGGCAGGGCAGTAAGTCACAGCAGGCACCATGCCGAGGCCTTTATGTGCATTATGACAGTGATCACCCCACCCAGACAGGTGGAGAAACTGAGGCTCAGAATGTTAATGGACTTGTCGAATTTACACAGCTGGTCGGTGGCAAAGCCAGGGCCTGTGTGGCACTAAAGCCTGCTCTGCCAGCACACTGCCCCTCCCTCAGAATCCCCTTCAACAGCCCTGCCAGCAGACGTTTCCACGCGCTGGTCCACTCCACCCTTCACCACTGCTGCTGCCTCTTTCACAGAATCCTTACTCTTTGGCCTGGGGTTTACAGCTCTCTACAGCATGGCCCAGCCTTGCTGAACCGAGCAGACGGCCACAGGTCCCTGACTGTTCCTTCTCCACTCTGGTTAGGCAGGTCCCTTCCCCTCCCCCATGCTGTCGTTGCCACCTGGCTTCCCACATTTTCTGTAGCTGCTCATTCGCTCGGATGCCCTGCTGGGCATAATTGCTGTCCCACCTTCCAGGTCTTCATCTGGCCCCACAGCCATAAGAAGCTATCCCCTGAATCCAGCCCACACAGTTGTCATCCCCTCCTCATAGTCACACTCAAATGCATTTGCCCTTCAAAATTTCCAGCTATTCCCCCAGGAGACTGTAATCTCCCTGAGGACAGGACAGAATAAGGTACATGCACATTTGCGCTGCCTAAAGTTTCCCACTGTGCTGGGCTCATAGTGGACCCCTGAGCAGAGAGCCCTGGGGCATGCCTGGGTATCTTTGCTGAAGAGAATGGGGAAATTGAGGGGGCCTGAACCCCTGAATGCTGAACACATCATCCCATTGACTGAATATCCTTGACAGACTTTTTCCAATCAGTGTTTTCATGTGTGTTTTTTTAATAGCTAGTATTTGTAGATTTTGTTCCAGGAATTGTGCTGTTGTCTGATTTATTCCTCATAATCTAGTGAGGTTGGAATGAGATCTTATGGGGCACATAGTAATGAAATGGGTGAATGAATTTTGTCCCATCTGAAGATGCAGAAACTGAGCTCAGAGTGGTTAACTAACCAGCCCAAGAAAGCTGCATAGTAAGTGGCACAGATGAGACCCAAGTTCAGGTTCCTCTGACTTCCACACTCTTAACCTGGATGCCCCACAGGGGCCTGGAGGCAGCACAGTCCAAGGCCATTTGCAGGAGTGTCCCTATCCGGACACGGTAGCCGGGTGAGTGGGTGGTCCCCACACCTGTCCCCCCGCCTGCCCCCATCCCTGGGTCCCACTCTGCCTGGCAGTGCCCGGAACCCACCCCTGCACCCTCCGTTCAACTCACAGAGGATGATGAGCGAAACCACCAGGGCAATGAGGAGGAGCACGCACCCGATGAGCGGCAGCCGCTTCTGGCCCTCCCGCCAGGTGAACTTGGGCAGGCTCGTACCTAGGAGCAGGGCGGCAGCAGGGGAAGGTGAGGCTGAAGAGGAGTCCGACGAGGTGGAGAGGGTGGGGGAAGCAAGGCTGTGGCCCAGGAGGGCCCCGTGAGGATCACTCCACCCCAGAAGTTGGAATGAGATTTGATGGGGCACAAGGTCAATGGAATGAATGATTGAATTTTGTCCCATCTGAAAATGCAAAAACTGAGCTCACCCTGCCTGGCACCAGCAGCCATCTTTTACTGGGCTCTTCTCTGGGCCAGCCAGGCACTCTGCCTGTGTTCTCTTAATTCTCATGGCAACCTCATGAGCAGAGTCTTATTAGGCCCATTGTATAGATGGGGTAACTGAGGCTCATGGAAGTGAAATCACTTGCCCAGGGTTACTTGGTGAGTTAGTGGCAGAGTTGGGATTCCAATGCAGTGGGTCTGATACCAAAGCACCTCACCCACCCTGGAGAGGACCAGGCTGTGGGATGGGCCCCAAACTTCGAGTGATCCTCCAAAGCCACGTATCATCCAGGCCTGTGTGTACTGTGGTGGTGGGGAAAGTCTGAATTCTAGGATGGGAGGAGGGCAGCACTGGAGCAGGCAGAAGCACTGATTCCTTAAGGGCGGACCCAGTCCCCAAGGCCTATTCGACCTCTCTGACTCCCTAATAGGTGAACCATGCAACCCACAATTTGGAAGGCTGGGGATGGACTTGAACACCTGGTCAGAATCTCTCCTTTTCCTCGCCCACCCACAGATGGGCCCGCTGATCATGACCTTGTTCCACTGCAGACCCCAGCTTCTTAGGCAGACCCACAGGACAGCACAAGGAGAGAACCCTGTGACTAACTGGGGGACCTTGCTACTGAAACCAGTGCTCTGACCTGGGTTGTGCAGACTCCAGGGTGACACGCTGCTTTGTTAGTCCTGGCTTCTTATCACCTACCCCGCTTCGCGCCTAATTTTCCACTGTCTCAGGTTTTCACATTTCACAAAAATGTTTCCTTTTTGCCCCTGCCCCCAAGTCCCTCACTGCCCACCCCGCTGCCTCCCCTTCCCCACATCATTGTCTGCGATGAGAGCAGAGCACACTGGCTCTGAGATTTCCTCCCTGCCCATGGGCTGCTTCCCATCTCTCCTGTCTTCCCTGCAGCATCCCCCTTACCTGGGCTCTCCCTGGTGGCCCTGGCAGCTGGTGCTGACCTGGCAGGAGATGATCGGATGGGTACAGCCCCCACTGGTGTTGCTCTAACAAGGTACACTCTGGTTGGGGAGGTTGTCACGGAGGCTGACCTGGCAGATGATGACCTGCTGGATGAGGACCTGGAAGGTGAGGACCGAGCCGGAGATGCCCTGGCTGGAGATGCCCTGACTGGAGATGCCCTGACTGGAGATACTTGGGCTAGAGATGCCCGGACTGGAGGTGCCTGGGCTGGCGATGCCTGGGCTGGTGATGCTCGGGCTGGAGATGCCTGGGCTGGTGATGCCCGGCCTGGAGGTGTCCCAGCTGGAGATGCCTGGGCTGGAGATGCCCGGCCTGGAGGTGTCCCAGCTGGAGATGCCTGGGCTGGAGATGCCCGGCCTGGAGGTGTCCCAGCTGGAGATGCCTGGGCTGGAGATGCTCCAGCTGAAGGTGTTCTCACTGGAGATGCATTCTGAAAGCAGATCGAAGAGTATCCCTCAGGCTGCTCCCCTGCCAACTCACCTCAGCTGTCGGCTCTGCTGCACTAGGATATGAATGCTCTGAGGCAGCAGCTAGGGGTTGAGCAAACCCCCCTGGACAAGGAAACATCTGAGAGGAGGACTGTGTCCAAGGATAGAATGAAAGCTCAAAGAGCCTGCTGTCCCCCAGCTCCCCTAGGGGCTCCCCTGCCACTTAGGACCTGCAGAGAAGGGTGGAGGGAAATGGGCCATGTGCCCGGGCACTGGGGGTCACCTGCTTAGGCTACGCATGTCTAGGAAGGGTTAAAGGAAGAGGCTGCTGGGCTAGTCACTCACTCTGAGACCTCATATGAAGGGAATGTGGTCCCCTATGGGGAAAGCAAAGACCCCTCTGCCCTCTTCCCTTCCACCTCCTACATCTGCACCCTTTACTTTCCTGTATGTGCGTTAGATTATAAAATACTGTTCTTACTATGAGCTGTAATCCCTAGTTAAGCACTAGTTAAGGAAAGCCCTGACCTGCCAACTGAAGGGGCAGAGCGCCAGTGTGAGCTCATCTGAGGGAGAAAAAGAATGCTGTACAAAGCCAGACTAAGGTCTTTGCATAACACGGACAAGCCTCAGCTGCAGAAGGCCCTGTCCTTCCCTCTGGTGGTGGCCTGGGCCTCGGCTCCTGCCAGGGATCCTGGCACTGTGGCACCTTCACCGGCCTGCCTGGCCTCCCTTCCTCTTTTGTGCACACTCTAAGTCTTCCCCAACTTCAGGGGGACTTCCCGTAAGCCAGGACAATAAAATACTAATCACTCGTGTGCATGGCACTTTAGAGGTGAAAATAAACTTTCACATCTGTGGCCTCATGATGACCTCACCACATCCCTGGGAGGTTAGTACTTTTGGAAGCCCATTTTACAGATAGGGAAGCCAAGGTTCAGAGCTCAGCTTGCAGAATCACAGAGTCAGGGTTCTACCCCATGCCTATTTGTCTCTAAGTCTCCTGCCCTTCTTGAGTCAGAAGAGCTTCCCGGCACAGTCTTCGTGAACGGCATGTACAGAGTGCTCATTTTGCCTTTGTGAGATTGGTTAAGAATGGGGCCCCGTGGCCCTGCAGGGCCGGGAACACCTTGGGAACCTGGGGATAGGGCGGAGGGTTACAACAGGGATCTTGGTCTTGTAGTACTTTCTGGTGTGACCCACAGTTGGGCCCTGTGACCTGCCAAGACCAGGAGGTGCCTACTGGCCCAGAGCAGCGGGGTCAGGTGGGTCTTCAGGTGCTCTGGGTTAGAGAGACCAGGTTGGAATTTGGCCTGCCTCTAAGGCGGCTGGGTGCCCCAGGCAAGTGACTTCGCCTCTTTACATCTCAGTTTCCTATCTGTAAGCTGGAGTGAAGCACCTTGCTTCATGGTACTGAAGTCACAGATCATACCTGTAAAATGCCCAACACACAGTGAGGGCGTGGTGAGCAGTGGCTGTGATGGAGGGGTTTTGTTTGTTTGTTTGTTGAGTCTTGCTCTGTCACCCAGGCTGTAGTGCAGTGGCATGATCTTGGCTCACTGCAACCTCCGCTTCCCAGGTTCAAGCTATTTTCCTGCCTCAGCCTCCCCAGTAGCTGGGGCTACAGATGTGTGCCACCGCACCTGGCTACTTTTTGTATTGGAATCTCACCCCATTGCCCAGGCTGGAGTGCAATGCCACAATCCTGGCTCACTGCAACCTCTGCTGGGTTTAAGGGATTCTCCTGCCTCAGCCTCCCGAGAAGCTGGGATTATAGGCACCCGCCGCCGCGCCTGGTTAATTTTTTTTTAATTATTATACTTTAAGTTCTGGGGTACATGTGCACAACATGCAAATTTTTGTATTTTTAGTAGAAATGGGCTTTCACCATGTTGGCAAGGCTGGTCTCAAACTCCTGACCTCAAATGATCCACCCGCCTCAACCTCCCAAAGTGCTGGGATTACATGCGTGAGGCATCACACCACAGCCAGCCGGTAGTGGGGTTTTGTTTGTTTGCTTGTGAGATTGCTGGGCTTGCTATGGAAAAATCTGTTTGAATCTGATTGTCTCCATTCCCAATTGCATTTCCTGGGCAAGCGACATAACCCTTCAGTGCCTGATTCCATGCGTGTGAAATGGGCAGACCTCACCTCCTTCCCCCAGATAAATGGGTGATACACATGAAAGAGCCTGGTCTATAAATGTGTGTCAAACCATGACAAAGATAACAGCCCACTAGCACTTTCTGGGATCCCATTCCCACCTCTTCACAGCTCTTTGCAGTTGATATGGTTAGCCTCATTTTACAGATATTGAAACAGAGGTCCAGGCAGGTTAAGAACATGCCCAGATTCACACACCAGGTAAGTGACAGCTCAGAATCTAACCAGGCCTGCTAGGAGCAAGGAGGGCCTTGACCTACAGTGTCACAAACATCCACAGGACCTACCTTCGTCTCTTCAGGGCTTGTATGTGCAGTTTTGCACCATTATGTGATTTGATCCTCACAAGTCTGTCAGTTAGCAAGCTGGGCAGGAATTACTACCCCCAGTTTGTACACAAGGACCCGGGGCTCAGAGAGACCAAACAGCCCACCTGAACGAGCTGGTGGTCTGTAGGAACTCGCGCACAGTCTTCTAATTCCCAGGCAGCTCAGGCTGTCTCTACCTGAACGGGACCCTGCCATCCAGCGCCAGCTGCCCCATCAGGAAGAGGCCCATAGGAAAGTGGGTGGGCAGGTGGGGGAGGGAGCTGGGGAAAGCTGTAAAGCTAGAACAGGAGAAGGGAGTCAGGCCAGAGAGGGAACTGGTGGTGAGGGAGCATGGGTGGAAAGCCAAGAGCTGCAGAAAGGGCGACACATCCAAAAATGGAATGGAGGCCCAGCAGGCCCTGAGTCTGGGGGTATCTAGCTCTGGTCTGGCTAGAGCAAGTGCTCTGCTGTCAGGGCCTGGGAGGCAGGTGGAAAGCCACTGGGCCCCCAGACCAGGGCAAGAGGAGAGTTCTGGAGCCTCAAGACCCGAAGGAGAATTGCCCATGAAGAGAACTACAAGTCCCCACGGGGGCATCAGGATGAAAGGGCAGCCCCCAGACCAGATGAGAGCAGCCTCCAGAGTGAGGCCCCCGCTCCACCCCCTGACTCTGACCCTCAACCCAAACCCTCCCAGACATCAAGAAGAGTTCTCATCTTCAGGGATCATCTGAGTAAGAGATTCCACACCAACCTTCTTTAGGCACTTCACAGCCTGCTGTCCCACGCTGCTGGAAGTTCTTCCTCATATCTAACCTGTTACAGCACTAACTCATTTCTTTGCCCTAATTCTTGGAGAACAACTGCTGAGCCTCTAGCTTTCCACCAGAGGCCTGACCTCACCCTCAGAGTAGAGGCCTTCAGCAGCTGGGGAATGGGAAGGGAGGAGACTACTTTGTTTGTTTGTTTGTTTGTTTGTTTTGAGACAGAGTCTCCTCTGTCGCCAGGCTGGAGTGCAGTGGCGCCATCTCAGCTCACTGTAACCTCCACCTCCCAGGTTCAAGAGATTCTCCTTCCTCAGCCTCCTGAGGACCTGGGACTACAGGCACGTGCCACCATGCCCAAATTTTTGTATTTTTAGTTGAGATGGGGTTTCACCATGTTAGCCAGGATGGTCTCCATCTCTTGAGCTTGTGCCCGCCTCGGCCTCCCAAAGTGCTGGGATTACAGACGTGAGCCACCGCACCCGGCTGAGACTTCTTATCCAAGGTCCCAACCTACATGGGGCAGAACCAGGACCAGAACCCAAGCTTCCCAAATCCTGGCCTTTGGCAGTGAGCCGGAGACTCAGGAATGGAAGTGAAACGACCAACTCCTTGATGTGTCCTGGTGTCTCCACAACTTGCCTGCAGACCAAAGGCTTCTCAGCCTCCTCAGGGGCAGGTGCACAGGGCGGAGCAGGGGAGTGTGGTCAACTCTGAGCCAGTCCCTGGCCTAACTTTGCCAACCATTCTTTCCTGGCTGTGCCTCTCCTCCCCACCTACCCCTGGGGTGGTCTCTGAGGTTACCCCCTGCAGTAACATAATTGTAAGCCCTTACCATGCCATGGAACAGGCTCACACCCCAGGCTGTCACTGCTACCACCTGGCTATGCCTCTGCAGCTCCCAAGGGTCCTCACCCAAGGCTTGTTCAGGGCCCTCCAGGCATTTTGGGGCAGGAAGCAGCATGGCAGGAAGGCAGGGCAGGGATCCGCAGGAAAGCAGTGAAGGGCAAGCTAGGGAGGGCTAAGAGGAGCAGCCCCTGGCCCCGGGAGTCTTTCCAAAGCCCGTCCCTGGACAGAAGTCTGTAAGAATTTTTACTCCCACTTTACAGACTGAGAGGTAGAGGCCCAAAAGGTTTGTGTGCTTTGCCCAAAGTTGTTCAGGCCCATCTTATAGTAGAGGACGGACTAAAATGCAAGGCCCCCTGCTTCCAGCCTAGGGCTCTCGACACCACAACTCCCAGGGGTAGATCGCCCGTGAGGCAAATGGGATGTTTTTCTGGTTTCCAGTTGCAGACTCTGCCCCTTGGGCCATTACCTGGTAGGGATGGTAGTAAGTTAGCCAACCCCTGAGTATGTCCAGCCCTTGGCCTCTCCTCGACCTTCTGGGGGCCCAGCCAGTGATGCCAGGGAGAGGGGGGCCTCTGTCTTTGCTGAGTGATGCGGGCTCATGGTTGCTTCATCTCAGTGGTTATGGAGCTGCTGCCGTGGATCGAGCCCCAGGCTCTGCATAGTGAGAGTTCTCCAGCCGTAAGCAGCAGCCTGAACTTGGGAAATATGCACTTCAGGTCCCCCAGAGCCTGGGCTTGCAGTGTGAGCGATCCTATAAAAAGTTATCCCGCAATTGAACAATGACAACACTTGGACATAGGATGGGGAACATCACACACCAGCGCCTGTGGTGGGGTTGGGGGAGAGGGGAGGGATAGCATTAGGAGATACATCTAATGTAAATGACGAGTTAATGGGTGCAACACACCAACATGGCACATG